GGGTTTACTGATCTTTTGAAAGTTAAAAGGGGGAGTTTATGCTGATTATCCAAAGTTAAGGGTGGTTTTATGATATTTAGCCATATTTCACACGGACCGTAGGAGTAACGTCCTGATATTAGGGGCCCATACCCTTACAACCACGCGAACCATCACAAACCGTCAGATCAAAGAACCAACGGGCCGGATCAACCCAACAACCGGACCTCAGCTATTGGCCGAGCCACGAAGCACTCTCAACCTGATTGGTCCACGTCAGCATAAGTGACATGTTCCCGTTCTCGGACCCTCTAGGACTCGGCTCGAGCTCAGCGATCGAGCTATAAATAGCGATAATCAAAGCCCATCTCCAAACAACAGGAAAAAAGAAAAAGAGGGGGGAAAAACAATAACAGTGAAGGTTTTGATCGCAGATCTATTCGCGCCATGGATCGATCCACGAGAAAACGAGGATCTTTGATCCTGTTCGGGCTTGTTGTCGCTGGTACGTATCTCGATCTTGATCTGTTGAATTGAATTGACTTTTCCGAGATTTATTGGTTATTTTTATAGAGTTCTAGTGGAATGCAGTTGATGAGCTGATCTGATCTAGTTAGTATTAGAATGAGTTAGATCTGTGTGGAGTTCTTATATATTGATGAATTTGCTTGTAAAAGTCGAGTGTTTTAGATCTGGTTACTGTGGATCTAGTGGTTTGATAAATGTCTTTACATGATTAAGCGTGTAGATTTGAGCAGAATAATTCTTTTAGCTAAAGGATGTATTTTGGAGATAATTTAGCTGTGATTAGAGGATGCTACCATGTAAGCAAGGAGAAATGTTGGAAGCTGATTGGCTCGCAAAAAATCGTGTTTAAACCAAAGTATTGCAAAGTGAGACACTATGTGGTGGATTGGATGATAGAAACAAGATTTGAAAATATGATAAGATCAAAAAAAAAATTTTACAATCTAGGCAGACGCAGAAAGAATAAATTCAGGTTCAAACTTATCCAAGTTTTTTGTTTTTCGTTTGGTTGGATGGAAATTTAAATGTGGAGCTCGCATTCCACTTTCTTCTGAAAGTACTCTGAAATAGAGAGTATATGTGACGTGGGATTTTGATGATGCTGTAGCAAAACTTAACCACCTGGCTTTCTCTCAAAAGAGGATTTTGCATTTGGCAAAATTCTTAGAGTGTTGTGCGTAGAGTTACGCCCTCACGCCGCGGAAGCTATATAACCTGAGAGAAAGCCCTGGCTTTTGTTTTCACAAAAAGCTCAAGTCAATCTCTATATTCTCGTTTCAAAAAGAAAACAAGAACAGAAGTGAAATATCTCAGCAAAGTGAGATATACACTCTTCCTCTCAGCAGTTCTAGGACTGAATGTCGAGGGAACCTACAAGCAATAGCTAACTCTTGTTCAGACTCAACCTCTCATCAGTTCTATGACTGACTTGTCGAGGGAACCTACAAGCAAATCCAAGTCACAGTTAAGACACGAGATTTACGTGGTTCGGCAAACTTACCTACGTCCACGGGAGGGGGTTTCACTATGAGCAGAATACCAAACTTGTACAACTCACAAGTTCTTTCTTTTCTTTTACTTCTCACTCACTCTCTTTTCCTCCACACAATAAATTTCTCTTCTTCCTCCACTCTATTTATAGGGAGAAATGAGAGACAACATCCCCCGAAACATGCTCCATGTTTCAGGGAATGTCCCCCCTTGAAAAACATGGAGACATGCTCTATATTTTGGGGAATGCCCCCCTTAAAACATGGAGACACGCTTCATGTTTTGGGAAGGGAGGTTCCCTCAACGATCTACTATTGGTTATGTATTCAGGATACATAGGGTTCCAGTTAGTTGACGATCAATATTACAGGCTACAGTAGCACTTTCTACAACAGAGGCCGAGTACATAGCCATGACGGAGGGAGTGAAGGAAACATTGTGATTGCGAGGTCTTTTAGACGATTTGGGGATTGAGTAGGAGAGCGTGAACGTGTGGTGCAATAGTCAGAGTGCAATTCACTTGGCGAAGATTCAAGTTTATCATGCTCGTATCAAGCATATCGATGTCAGGTATCATTTCGTGCGGGATGTCATAGAGGAAGGCGATATTTTTCTCATGAAGGTGCATACGAATGAGAATCCTGCGGACATGTTAACTAAGGTGGTCATAGGTAACAAGTTTAAGCATTGTTTGGACTTGCTGCATATTAGCCCGTGTTGATCTGTCTAAGAGGGCATAGCCCTTCGGGACGGTGATAGGGGTGAGGTGGAGATTATATTGGAGAATAGTTACAGAACTACGATTAGCTTGATTTCGGTAGAGGGTACGTAGGTAGCCACGGTATAGTGGCACAACTAGTTTGGCCTGGTTTGGTGTTTCAGATCTCTTTGGTGATATTCATGGTATTTTTTTGGTGTTCGTTTAAAATTTGAGGTTTATCAAATGATGTACGAGGTGGATAATTATAAACCCCTTCCTCAAAACATGAAGTATGTCTCCATGTTTCAAGGGGGACATTCCCCAAAACATGGAGCATGTCTCCATGTTTCAATGGGAACATTCCCTGAAACATAGAGCATGTTTCGGGGATGTGGTCTCTCCTTTCTCTCTATAAATAGAGTGGATGAGGAAGAGAAATTTGTCGTGTGGAGGAAAAGAGAGTGAGTGAGAAGTAAAAAAAATAGAGAACTTGTGAGTTATACAAGTTTGGTATTCTTCTTATAGTAAAACCCCCTCCCGTGAACGTAGGTAAGTTTACCGAACCACGTAAATCTCGTGTCTTAACTGTGATTTGGTTTTGTTTGTAGGTTCCCTCGACAAGTCAGTCCTAGAACCGATGAGAGGTTAAGCTAGAACAAGAGTTAGCTATTGCTTGTAGGTTCCCTCGACATTCAGTCCTAGAACTATTGAGAGAAAGAGTATATATCTTACGTTGTTGAGATATTTTATTTCTGTTCTTGTTTCCTTTGTGAAACGGGAATATAGAGGTTTACTTAAGCTTTTGTGAAAACAAAAAGCAGAATTTTCTCTCAGGTTATATAGCTTCCACGACGTGAGGGCATGTCACTACGCCTAACATAGAGTAAAATCCTTAGAGTGGAACCCACAAGTTTTCATGGAATCTTGAGAATGGAAACAAACTGTCCTCTCTAGCTCACTAAGGATTTTCCCAATTTTTTTTGTTTTGAAGGGAAAGTGGGTTTTGGAAGAGTGGCTACATTTGCTGCAAAATTTCATGTTAGAAATCCTCTATTCTCTAGAGGATTTTGTTGGTGCATGTAGTTAAATCTAGAATAATATAGATATAAAACAGAGAAAAACTGGAAAGAAAGCTAAAGTGATGTAATTTAAAAATTTTAACTCAGTTGTTGCGCGTTTCTAAAACGTTGTGCTTAAAGTAATATTTGGGTTACTCTCGTGCAAGGATCCCAAGACCAAATTGCTTCTAGGAACAGTAGTACAATACTCTGGTGTGCACCGACCGAGTACTGTCAAGATCTCTTTGATCTATAAGACCTTACAGTCAAGGCAATGATCTCCTCAATCTATAAGACCTTTCGATCAAGGCAACGATCTCCTCGAACTTGTTGAAACCTTTCGATTTAGGCAATGTTTCTACAAGTACCGGCTATTTTACAACACATATATCTGTGTATATATTTTGTATTGGTTGTTGTTTTTAGAATGAATTTTCCTTAAGAGTTTGTGGTTTATTTATAGCGTTTGGAAAAACACTATGCACTAATAAACTAATATTGTTTTACTATTCATGTGGGGCCCGCAACTCTTTAAATCACATATTCATTTTCTTTTTCAAACTTGTTTTTCTTCGTTTTTAAACTTTTCTGCAGGACGGTGCCAAATCTTGTGGAAATAAATTTGTTGTGGGCCCCGCCACGGTGGGGCCCACTATCTGGACTATCGGATATAATTTTTTAAATAAAGATAGTTGGCCCTATCGTGGCGGGCCCACAACAAATTTATTTCCACAAGTTTTGACACCTTCCTGTAGTAAAGTTTGAAAATGAATAAAAAATTTAAATTACAGCACTTCAGCTTTCTTTTTAGTTTTTCTTTACTTTATATCTGTATTATTCTAGATTTAACCACGGGTGTCAACAGATTTCTGGGAGAAAGTTGATTTTAGGCCCCACATTAACTCTCCATCCATCCAAATAGAAAAGTAGGGAGGTTTGGGATTTTGTGGAAGTCGATTTTTTCTGGTTTCCTACACTTTATTTTCTCATCCAAATTCAAACATTTCGTAAGCACCGGCATTAAGACATAGATGTGTACTAGGTAAAATTCTGATGAAATTCAATTGAAATTAGGAGTTTTCTATTTTTTCCCTCCATATTACCAGAGTTTGTTTAATATCAAATTTTTTTTATACTTCATCCTTGTTAAATTATGATAATATGCTTTTACAAGTATAGCCATTGCATGGATTATCACATAGTGGTAGGCTTTCACTCTTCATTTCAGATAATTTTAATTAGTTTAACATGAAAAAGGTGTCCATTCAGGGCTCGTTACCCTTCCAGAAACAGCGATAATGTACTAACCTAGAATGTGTGCCTGGTTATGGTCACTCAAAAGTTTTTTAACTCATGGTCATACTCACGACTAAACTGAAAATTAATTGCTTTCCTTCATGGGAAGCCATCCAATTTCGGCTTTTGTATGTTAGTAAGCATGCATGTGAAGTTCTGGTTTCTCTTGCTATATTGAAAATGAAACCGACACTTTCTATTATTTTTCTTTTCAATGGATTATGCTGTATAAGTGATAGCTTGCAACGAAACCATGTATGACAATCATGCTTTTGTGGTTAATATATAATTAATACTTTGTATAAGTTCCTTGCGTGGGGAGTGAGTGAAGAATGGATAAGTACTTGTGTATTTATGCTCAATAAGGACTCAATAAAAGCAAACGGTATGCTAACATTTAGAACTTGATTCTTACAGGATCTCTGTTTGCATTCTCAATCGCAAAGGAGGAAGCCACTAAGTTAGGAACCGTCATCGGTATAGATCTTGGAACCACCTATTCATGTGTTGGGGTCTACAAGAATGGACATGTTGAAATTATAGCTAATGACCAGGGGAACCGTATTACCCCTTCATGGGTGGCCTTCACTGACAGTGAAAGGCTGATTGGTGAGGCTGCAAAGAATCAGGCAGCAGTGAACCCAGAAAGAACCATCTTTGATGTCAAGAGACTTATTGGACGGAAGTAAGTTGCTCTACGCAATACTACCAATTCAAATTTTCTCTTTTGATTTATCCTACTGGAATGCTAGAATAAATTGACTAATGTTAAATTTAATGTGTGTACTTCTTAGATTTGAAGACAAAGAAGTTCAGAGGGATATGAAGCTTGTTCCTTACAAGATTGTCAACAAGGATGGAAAACCTTACATTCAAGTAAGGATCAAGGATGGGGAAATCAAGGTTTTCAGTCCTGAGGAAATCAGCGCCATGATTTTGACCAAGATGAAGGAGACAGCTGAAGAATTCCTTGGGAAGAAAATTAAGGATGCTGTTGTCACCGTTCCAGGTATTTATCCTTTTCAATAGATAGAAGGTTACAACTATGATTCTTATGCCTTACATTTGTAAAAGATATCCTAACACTACTCCTTTCCATATTCCAGCATACTTCAATGATGCTCAGAGGCAAGCAACTAAGGATGCCGGTGTGATTGCTGGCTTGAATGTGGCTAGAATTATCAATGAGCCTACAGCTGCTGCCATTGCTTATGGTCTTGATAAGAAGGGTGGCGAGAAGAACATCCTTGTCTTTGACCTCGGTGGTGGAACTTTCGATGTCAGTATCTTGACAATTGACAATGGAGTTTTTGAGGTCTTGGCAACTAATGGTGACACCCATTTGGGAGGTAAAGCCCTTGTTCCTTGTTGCTTACATTTTATGGTCAATGCTCTTGTAGTGAGAGACTGGCAATCAAGTACATTAATTTTAAGCTATATAACCAGTGATTGAGATAATTTCCTTGCTAGGGAAATCTTGTTCATTTGCTCTATCTAGACTTTCAATCATTGATTTAAATCATTCCTTTCTGTTTATGTTATCCACTTCTGAAAATGTGAAATTTGGTCCTCTGCGGATTAAAAGTGAATCTCTAAGTTCTTTCGACTTGGCTCTTATTCTTTGTATGAAAATGTTTGTGGTATATGGGGATGTCTACTGTAGTTGTAGTCATAGGAAATAATTGTATGCTAGTCATTTTGAATAGATGTTTATGTATTTGGGCTCACTTTCTTTCCTCCTTTAGGTGAGGATTTTGATCAGAGAATAATGGAATACTTCATCAAGCTAATCAAAAAGAAGTACGGAAAGGACATCAGCAAAGACAACAGAGCTCTTGGCAAGCTAAGAAGAGAAGCTGAGCGAGCCAAAAGAGCTCTTAGCAACCAGCACCAAGTCCGTGTTGAAATTGAATCTCTCTTTGACGGCACTGATTTCTCTGAGCCACTGACAAGAGCCAGGTTCGAAGAATTAAACAACGATCTGTTCAGAAAGACAATGGGCCCAGTGAAGAAAGCCATGGAAGATGCAGGACTGCAGAAGAGCCAGATCGATGAGATTGTGCTGGTTGGTCAATTTCACCTTTTTTTCAACTCCTCCCCCCACCCCTGCCACCCCCACACACACACACCCCAAAAAAAATCTGAACCTGATGGGAAATTGAAGAAAGGAGTTAACTGTTATAGTTTAATCCATTAAAAAGATTGTTAAATTGATTAACCATCACGTAGAAGGGATTAACCTATATAAATTTCTCACTTAGGAAGGAAGAGGTTACTCTGCTTAATTATTTACTAAACAACACCGAATGTTCTCAATTGTGAATGCACTGATTCAATGCAGACATTCTTCTTTTGGATGTGGCCCCTCTTACTCTCGGTATCGAGACCGTTGGTGGAGTCATGACCAAGTTGATTCCTAGGAACACCGTCATCCCCACCAAGAAATCTCAAGTCTTTACCACTTACCAAGATCAACAGACTACCGTCTCTATTCAGGTATTCAACTTGCCATCAAATACAATTCATTAGCAACATTCATATTCATCAGCAAATATTGACGTATCGTGTCATGTTCTAGGTTTTCGAAGGTGAGAGGAGTCTAACTAAAGACTGCAGGTTGCTGGGGAAGTTTGATCTATCTGGAATCCCTCCAGCACCCAGGTTTGTATCCCTAAGTTCAATCTAACTTGAGCTTGAATAGGTTTTAGGGAAGTTCCTTAAGAGATACTTCCCGTAAATCATGTAGCCCCCTAAACCCCAGCTAAATCAGGCTGGGAATTGCCTATTTATGGTATAATTCTGTCTTATATTTCGTCATGTTAACACTACACCTCTGACGACTGTATTTTGCTGGAATTATTCTATAGGTTTTATGTGTTAATTCTGATTCACCATAATAAAAACAGGGGCACTCCTCAAATTGAGGTCACCTTCGAGGTCGACGCCAATGGCATCCTCAACGTAAAAGCTGAAGACAAGGGCACAGGAAAATCCGAAAAGATAACCATCACCAATGAAAAGGGCCGCCTGAGTCAAGAAGAGATTGACCGAATGGTTCGCGAGGCAGAGGAGTTCGCCGAAGAGGACAGGAAGATCAAGGAGAAGATTGATGCCCGCAACCAATTGGAGACCTACGTGTACAACATGAAGAACACGATCAGCGACAAGGACAAGCTCGCCGATAAGCTTGAGAGCGAGGAGAAGGAGAAGGTGGAGGCGGCGCTTAAGGAGGCGTTGGAATGGTTGGACGATAACCAGAACGCAGAGAAGGAGGAGTATGAGGAAAAGTTGAAGGAGGTGGAGGCTGTTTGTAATCCGGTAATCTCGGCAGTTTATCAGAGGTCTGGAGGAGCTCCGGAGGGTGGTGCTGAGGGCGGTGATGATGATGAGCATGACGAGCTTTAGATGAATAGAAATTTGAGGAGGAATGAGCATTTCTTCTAATTTTGTAGTAAGAGTGCAGAAGGGGGTAGGGAGGGATGGTTTTTATTGTACAAGCCCCCCTGAAGTACACAATTCTGATCTCTACGGATAGCCCCTTGAATATTCTTAGTTGATAAAAAAACATTTGATGTTTTTTTTATAATGTTGATGAAAGGTAGATAGTTTCCCCTTTGTTCATGAGTAATTTACCCCCCCGCCCCCCGCCCCCCTTGTTGTGTGTTGATTGACATGTTTTGTTGAGTTCCTTTACTCCAGGCTTTGATTACGAGGCATTTTGCTTGGTGATATGGTATCCATAGGCTCTTCCACCGTGGTTTCTGCTCTATTGCGTTAATGTGCGAAAAAGCTTTTAACCATTAGATTGGTATCGAGACAAACCATAATCGAGACGGGCATATAGATCGGAACCGTCCGCTTGCGTGTATCGAGACAGGCATATGGATCAAGAATATTGTTTCCATCAGAACCATCAGAACCGTCCGCTGTCCGCTTTCGAGTGGACAGTTCTGATGGGATAGATTGTATCTGATGGGATGCATGGTCTAGATTAAAATAAACATTGATTGGATGGTCCAAATTAAAATAATAGGTGATTGGATATCTGCTTCATAGGATACCGATCTAATGCTACCTCGTGTTAGGTAGAACCATAGTAAGCATCTCAGGGGCCGCTCGTTTCTTAAAAAAATTTGAGAAATCAAAGAATAGGAAACATATTTCTTATAAAATGTGTACAGGCCCCAAAAGCAGAAACTTCATGTGACGAGGCCCCTCATAGTTTTCCCCATGTGAATCAGCCCCTTGATGTGTGACACTTTGTACTGTAATCCTTTTTTATCAATTATTACATGCCAGCTAAGCTAAAAGCCCCATATTATCCTTATCCTCTCTCCTCAATCTCTCAGACCCAGCAATCATATCATCTTTCTCTCTCATCTCCTCTCTCTCTCGTCTCTCTCTCTCTCTCTCTCTCTCTCTCTCTCTCTCCCCCCCATCTCTAAAACTAAGAGCTTTCTCAAGCTCGTCAACCTGGCCCTCGCCCTCCTCGATGTTGCCGCCTCCGCTCAGGCCCCCAAGGCTCCCCTCGAGTTCGTCGTCGCCTCCTCTCCCCTCCTCCACCCGTCCTCGTCGCCGTAGATCGCCGCCGCTCCCCCGTCGTAGATCACCGTCGTCGAGACGCACAGAGCATTAATCCATTAGCTAGACGAAGAAAAGAAAAAAAAATATTTGACCAGCTACAAATAAATGAACGATTTAATTTTAAAAAATAGTCAAAAGTTGTCCCCATTTTTCCACTTTCACGAGACAACCACGCCTTTTTGGAGGAAGCTGAATTTGCAATAAACCTAATGTGCACAGTTTTTTGTATTTTAATTTCAAACAAATTTTTAAAATAGACCGTTTTTAAAACTTAATTAGCAAAATAGGCTGAAAAAATATTTAATTACCAAAAATCGTTGTAAGCTGGGATCTTTTTGTATTTTAATTTCGAACAAATTTTTAAAATAGACCATTTTTAAAACTTAATTAGCAAAATAGACTAAAAAAATATTTAATTACCAAAAATCGTCGTAAGCTGGGACGGTAGTTATAAATCGTTGTTATAAATGAGGATACAGTCATGTTTTTATAAATCTTTGTTAATTATATTTGATAATAGTTATACCTAATGATATGTTATTTCTAGATGCATGTTTTTATAAATCTTTGTTAATTATATTTGATAATAGTTATACCTAATGATATGTTATTTCTAGATGTCATCGTGGTAGTTCTAGTAGCCCTCGAGTTAGTTCTAGCTTTTATTACCCCAGTTCTAGCTTGTATACAGCCAGTTCTAGCCCACACCTTGCTAGTTCTAAACCAAGCCCGTGTTTTTTAAAGCAAACTTGTTAATTCTAGCTTCTACGTTAGTTCTAGCTTTTATTACCCTAGTTCTAGCTTGTATACAGCCAGTTCTAGCCCAAACCTTGCTAGTTCTAAACCCAACAAGGGTTTTTTACATGCACGATTGTTAATTCTTACTTCTACGTTAGTTCTAGCTTCTATTACCTTAGTTCTAGCTTGTATACAGCTAGTTCTAGCCCACACCTTGCTAGTTCTAAACCCAACAAGGGTTTTTTACATGCACACTTGTTAATTCTTACTTCTACGTTAGTTCTAGCTTCTATTACCATAGTTCTAGCTTGTATACAGCCAGTTCTAGCCCACATCTTGCTAGTTCTAAACCCAACAATGGTTTTTTACATGCACACTTGTTAATTCTTGTTTCTACGTTAGTTCTAGCTTCTATTACCCTAGTTCTAGCTTGTATACAGCCAGTTCTAGCCCACACCTATCTAGTTCTAAGCCCACCAAGGGTTCTTTACGTGCACACTTGTTAATTCTTGCTTCTACGTTAGTTCTAGCTTCTATTACCGTAGTTCTAGCTTGTATACATCCAGTTCTAGCCCACATCTTTCTAGTTCTAAACCAAACAAGGGTTCTTTACATGCACACTTGTTAATTCTAGCTTCTACGTTAGTTCTAGTATAAATTACCCTAGTTCTAACTTGTATACAGCCAGTTCTAGCCCATACCTTGCTAGTTCTAAACCCAATAAGGGTTCTTTACATGCACACTTGTTAATTCTTACTTCTACGTTAGTTCTAACTTCTATTACCCTAGTTCTAGCTTGTATACAGCCAGTTCTAGCCCACACCTTGCTAGTTCTAAACCCAACAAAGGTTCTTTACATGCACACTTGTTAATTCTAGCTTCTACGTTAGTTCTAGCTTCTATTACCCTAGTTCTAGCTTGTATACAGTCAGTTCTAGCCCACACCTTGCTAGTTCTAAACCCAACAAGGGTTTTTTACATGCACACTTGTTAATTCTTGCTTCTACGTTAGTTCTAGCTTCTATTATCCTAGTTCTAGCTTGTATACAGCCAGTTCTAGCCCACACCTTGCTAGTTCTAAACCCAACAAAGGTTCTTTACATGCACACTTGTTAATTCTAGCTTCTACGTTAATTCTAGCTTCTATTACCCTAGTTCTAGCCTGTATACAGCCATTTCTAGCCCACACCTTACTAGTTTTAAACCCAACAAGGGTTTTTTACATGCACACTTATTAATTCTAGCTTCTACGTTAGTTCTAGCTTCTATTACCCTAGTTCTAGCTTGTATACAGCCAGTTCTAGCCCACACCTTGCTAGTTCTAAACCAAGCCCGCGTTTTTTACCTTCACACTTGTTAATTCATGCTTCTACGTTAGTTCTAGCCTCTATTACCCTAGTTCTAATTTGTATACAGCCAGTTCTAGCCCACACCTTGCTAGTTCTAAACCCAACAAGGGTTTTTTATATACACACTTGTTAATTCTTGCTTCTACGTTAGTTCTAGTTTCTATTACCCTAGTTCTAGCTTGTATACAGCCAGTTCTAGCCCACACCTTGCTAGTTCTAAACTAAGCCCGTGTTTTTTATATGTACACTTGTTAATTCTTACTTCTACCTTAGTTCTAGCTTCTATTACCCTAGTTCTAGCTTGTATACAGCCAGTTCTAGAACACAGGCTGGATTTAGAACTAGAATTAACAAATGTGCATGTAAAGAACCCTTGTTGGGTTTAGAACTAGCAAGGTGTGGGCTAGAACTGGCTGTATACAAGCTAGAACTAGGGTAATAGAAGCTAGAACTAACGTAAAAGTAAGAATTAACAAGTGTGCATGTAAAGCACCCTTATTGGGTTTAGAACTAGTAAGGTATGGGCTAGAACTGACTGTATACAAGCTAGAACTAGGGTAATAGAAGCTAGAACTAACGTAGAAGTAAGAATTAACAAGTGTGCATGTAAAAAACCCTTGTTGGGTTTAGAACTAGCAAGGTGTGGGCTAGAACTGGCTGTATACAAGCTAGAACTAGGGTAATAGAAGCTAGAACTAATGTAGAAGCTAGAATTAACAAGTGTGCATGTAAAGAACCCTTGTTAGGTTTAGAACTAGCAAGGTGTGGGCTAGAACTGACTGTATACAAGCTAGAACTGATTGTATACAAGCTAGAACTAGGGTAATAGAAGCTAGAGTTAACGTAGAAGCAAGAATTAACAAGTGTGCATGTAAAGAACCCTTGTTGGGTTTAGAACTAGCAAGGTATGGGCTAGAACTGGCTGTATACAAGCTAGAACTAGGGTAATAGAAGCTAGAACTAACGTAGAAGCAAGAATTAACAAGTGTGCATGTAAAAAACTCTTGTTGGGTTTAGAACTAGCAAGGTGTGGGCTAGAACTGGCTGTATACAAGTTAGAACTAGGGTAATAGAAGCTAGAACTAACGTAGAAGCTAGAATTAACAAGTGTGCATGTAAAGAACCGTTGTTAGGTTTAGAACTAGCAAGGTGTGGGCTAGAACTGACTGTATACAAGCTAGAACTAGGGTAATAGAAGCTAGAACTAACGTAGAAGTAAGAATTAACAAGTGTGCATGTAAAAAAACCCTTGTTAGGTTTAGAACTAGCAATGTGTGGGCTAGAACTGACTATATACAAGCTAGAACTAGAGTAATAAAAGCTAGAACTAACGTAGAAGCTAGAATTAACAAGTGTACATGTAAAGAACCCTTGATAGGTTTAGAACTAGCAAGGTGTGAGCTAGAACTAGTAAGGTGTGGGCTAGAACTGGCTGTATACAAGCTAGAACTAGGGTAATAGAAGCTAGAACTAACGTAGAAACAAGAATTAACAAGTGTGCATGTAAAAAACTATTGTTGGGTTTAGAACTAGCAAGGTGTGGGCTAGAACTGGCTGTATACAAGCTAGAACTATGGTAATAGAAGCTAGAACTAACGTAGAAGTAAGAATTAACAAGTGTGCATATAAAAAACTCTTGTTGGGTTTAGAACTAACAAGGTGTGGGCTAGAACTGGCTGTATACAAGCTAGAACTAGGGTAATAGAAGCTAGAACTAACGTAGAAGCTAGAATTAACAAGTTTGCTTGTAAAAAACACGGGCTTGGTTTAGAACTAGCAAGGTGTGGGCTAGAACTGACTGTATACAAGCTAGAACTAGGGTAATAGAAGCTAGAACTAACTCGAGGGCTACTAGAACTACCACGATAGCATCTAGAAATAACATATCATTAGGTATAACTATTATCAAATATAATTAACAACGATTTATAAAAACATGACTGTATCCTCATTTATAACAACGATTTATAACTACCGTCCCAGCTTACAACGATTTTTGGTAATTAAATATTTTTTCAGCCTATTTTGCTAATTAAGTTTTAAAAATTGTCTATTTTAAAAATTTGTTCGAAATTAAAATACAAAAAGACTGCGCACATTAGGTTTATTGCAAATTCAGCTTACTCAAAAAAGGCGTGGATGTCTCGTGAAAGTGAAAAAATGGGGACAACTTTTGACTATTTTTAAAATTAAATCGTTCATTTATTTGTAGCTGGTCAAACATTTTTTCTTTTTTTCTTTTCTTCTTCTAGCTAATGGATTAATGCTCTGTGCGTCTCGACGGCGGCGTTCTACGACGGGGGAGCGGCGGGAGGGGAGGCGGCGGTGAACTCGAGGGGAGCCTTGGGGGCCTGAGCGGAGGCGGCAACGGCGAGGAGGGCGAGGGCCAGGTTGACGAGCTTGAGAAAGCTCTTAGTTTTAGAGAGAGGAGAGAGAGAGAGAGAGAGAGAGAGAGAGGAGATGAGAGAGAAAGATGATATGATTGCTGGGTCTGAGAGATTGAGGAGAGAGGATAAGGATAATTTGGGAATTTTAGCTTAGCTGACATGTAATAATTGATAAAAAAAGGCTGCAGTACAAAGTGTCACACATCAAGGGGCTGATTCACGTGAGGAAAACTATGAGGGGCCTCGTCACATGAAGTTTCTGCTTTTGGGGCCTGTACACATTTTTCCCTTCTTATAATAATTGTTTTGAGGTTGTTTGGTTGGCTTAAAAAAGAAGGAAATTATAGAATAGGAGATGAGATGAGATGAGTTGTCACCTTATTATTGGATGATGTGAGTGATTTTTAAAAAAAACTTGTGTTGAGCTTGTTTGGTTGGTTAAAAAAACAAGGAAATGAATTGGAGGTATATTATTGGATGATGTTTTGAGGTTGTTTGTGCTTGGTTCATTTTTTAAAATAAGAAAATATATGAGGTGAGATGAGTTTGAGGTATATTATTGGATGATGTGACACATACTTAAGGAAATTAATTTTTTTTTTTGAGGAAATGGATGGAAAGGAAGGTTTAATGATATGAGATGAGTTGTCACAATATTATTGGATGATGTGTGTGATTTTTAAAAATAAGATAAGATGAGATGTGATGAGTTGGATGATGTGACACATTTCTTGTGTTTGGTTTATTTTTAAAAATAAGAAATGAGATGAAATGAGATGAGTTAGAGGATAAAAATAATATTTTATTGGATGTTGTGGGTGAGTTTTAGAGATGAAAATGGATAAAAATATTATTTTATTGATTTTCTTATACCGGTTTCCTTTTCTTGGTTTTTAGGAAACCAACCAAACAACCCCTCAGTCTCATGCAATGTCAGCTTGTACCTGTTACTTTGTATATTCCCTTGGAGAGCTGTCTATAAAAAATTATAGAAAATCATATGGCTGTCTATAAAAAATTATAGAAAATCATATGGCAAGAATTGAGATAGTCACTCGTATGCCCGTATCAATTTTAAATAAATAGATAAAAACAACCAGCACTATTATCACCATCAAAATGTTGCATCAGACCAATCACCTATACAGCGCAACCAAACTATAGTGTCAATACAGTCATGAAAATATGTTGAACATACGTAGACCTCTAAGCCATTA